CTCTGCAATTTAGATTGCTGTTTCTATATGTAATATATTGTTCTCTTTTTTGTGGCTGAAAGGGTATTTGTTAGAAATACCCATTATTTTTTCATCTTCAGGGAATAGGAGAAATGTTTATATAACCTTATTTACAAATACAGTACATATCTGAAAAAGAACGCCCTTTCCCTTTGTGACACAACTGTTCAACTACCTTGCATACTTTGGTGTGTGTCTTGCTTCATTTTCATGCTAGGAATCGACCTGGCCTTTATTCTGTGAGATTGATTGTGTTGGAACGCAAAAACCATTTTCAATATCCAGAGCAGCCCACAATAAAATGACCTTTCTAAAAACAGGAAGATTTTGATTTACCAGACTGAAATGGATTCATCCTCTGACATTTGGCCTTCTGTGTTATATCAGGCCAGCCTGTGGCAAACTGCTGCAGAGCTGCGTTTCAGTGCCAGGGGATTGACTTGCCTTTCCTGTTCCATGCCTCTTCTCCCCCCCAGGGGTGTTGGTACCAACACACACTGTACTCACAAGGAACGCTCTTGTGTTCCGGTTGCTCCCGTCCTGACTCCACCTTATGAAAGGTGCCGCCACGTACAGTATTTTGCTCTTTCAAGCTAGTAGAAAGCTCGGGGGTAAGACGTTTGACATTAATTAACTAATGTGTCAGGCTTGCGAACTGAAGAAAGAACAGAAAAAAAAATATTTTTCTCTCTGTAAAAGTGTGTGTCGTAATGTCAATCTATTCCAGTTTTCTAAATGAGCACACACAGGAATGTGGATTCTGGGGTGTGGAGATTCATTAGGTTACTTAAAGGCTTCTGTAATTGTCATCTATAAGCGTGTGTTCAAATCAGGCTCAGAACATGGATATTTTAACCACACATGAAAATGATACCACAACGGGTCAAAGCAAAATCACCACCAAAACAATAAGGCATTTCATCTCAAATGAGTTTTGAAAAAAGATGGCAACCTTTTCTTCTTAAAGATTAAACTGAGTGATGGACCAACAGAGGCACCAAAAATTTGCTGTCCTTTACATGAACAAATAATCAACAGCACAAAGCACTGCACTTGAAAGCATTTGCCAGGTCTTTATGAATTTCTTACAATTATAATCAAAGAGCAGAATGTAGCAAAGACCTAATTAATATCCAATAGCCTGTGAAGCCACCCCTCTACATTAGGAAAGATGCACGTTCTTATTATAGCCACCTTAAATTCTCCATGGCTGATTAACATTTCTATGCAAATCCCTGAATCTTATGCTAATATCTCTCCACATGCACAATATAAAAAATATAAACCTATGGCCGTTACCTCACTGCTGTTTGCCAAGGCTCTAACTTTTTCTTTTCTTTGAATCTAAGTGCCCACAATATCCACTTTCAGAACCATTTTGTATGAGACAGCACAGCTCAGTAAACTGTGTCAAAAGTCTATCATTTCCTCTTACAAAGGCATAAACCACTGAAATCCAAACAGAATTCCCTACATCCTACTTAACCATCTATTAGAGTGTGAGATTAAACTGTAATATTTTGGAGCTTAGCTGTGTTCTAGTAAACCTGCTAGCTTTGTGAAGCATCTAAAAATAGATTAAATGTGGGGATCCTCTGTCCTATGAGTCAATTTTTTAAGGAAAGCAAGAAGGGGAGTATAAATAAAATATTGAACCAGTAAGAATACGCATTTATTTCTGAAATCAGTAACATATGACAAATGTGCCAGCATTTCAGTCTTCACACCAATTATATTCTGATGTCTTTGACTGGAAAATATTTCTCTAATATAAAAAAGCCATGTCTTTGACTGTTGAGTATTTAATGCACAGCTCAATCTAGTGCATATCGTATGAATAATTGTCACCTTGCTTTAATCAAAAGCCAGGGTCTAGCTACATGTTGCTTGTTTTGCTGTAGTTTTAATAACAGAATCATTTGCACAGTGTTATGCCGCAGCTGGACACAGCCGTGAGGGTGGTGATTTGTGAGAACCCAAGTGCCGGAGACCGGGGAGTGAAAAGTGAAAGGTGAGAATTGTCACGAACACGGACTGAGATCCGTGTCAGGTCTTGTAGTAGACCCTATGCGATGCAGTAAGAGCTGGAGAAAACAGGAGGCGTGGTAAAAGGAACACACAGGGGTTTAATAGTGCACAAAATAATAGTGACAATCCGTGAGACAGTGAACGGGGAAGACAGAACGGCATCCAAATCCATACGGGTTCAAAAGCAGGTCAGGGCACAGTCCGAGAGTCCATCAACAAGGAATCCATCCTGGGACATGACAAGGTTAAAATCCCCGGGAGGGGGGAACACACGGACAGACAAAACATGGAGGTCCAAGGGTGACGGGGCGAGATCCTCCAGACCCCGGCTCAGGAAGCGGGAGGTGTCGGGGATGAGGCCTATGCCCTCAGGAGACGGACGTAGGGTTTCCTGGTGCTAGGCGGGCCTCGTGATATCTTTACCCTAATGATGAGCGCCGAGGACTGGAGGAGCTAGTCTTTAAATAATAAATGCTAAGAGGGGTACACCTGGGGAGCTTAACAATCACAAGGACAATAATGGGAGCGGTGGAGCGCCCTCTAGGGAGGGATGTCGGGCGTGACAAGAATGAGGTAATGGATTACTGGCCAGCGGGGCTTCATCAGCCCAGACCAGTCGGAAATGGGGAGAAACGACGATCCCTGGGATAGAAAGGTTGCTATACACAGCCGGGGGGCAAAAGGGAGTCTCAGGGAGAACCCAAATAGCGGGAACCCTGAAAGGAACAGAATGGGCTTGGAAGGGCAGCTCTCAGGAGTGTCAGAGGTGCAGGCAGGCAAACTTGAGGGTCGACGCAGTCAGGAATGTGAAGGATAAGTGTGGAAAGAAGTGCTGGCCAGAATCGGAGGCTGCTGCGTCAGGCAACACAGAAAGCAGGCTAGGAGCTAAGGCTGGAGTGTTGGGCAACTCCAAGAGGCAGCTTGGTGCTGAAGCTATTGCACCGGGCAATGCTGTGAGCCGGTTTGGAGCTGGAGCTGCTGCACCAGGTGACGCTGGGACCTGAGGCTGCTGTGCAGAGTGGAGGCTGGAAGCCAGGGTTGCTGAAACAATCCTAAAACAGGGAGTCTCGTGTACGGCAGCAACTGAGTTGCGAACTTCCTGGGAAAGGAGTTGGATGGCTTAGAAGGACCAGACTTGACCACTGAGGCCACTGAGACTGCTGCGCAGAGCGACGGATGTGTGTGCCAGGCAACACTGGAGCTGAGGGAAAAACCTGCAGCACAGCCCATGGGTCCGAAACGGGGTACAGAAAACCTGGATAGCGAGCCTGAAAAAAAAAGACCAAACTGGTTTCAGGGCACTATTGAGACTGCAACTTATGTGCAGGGTAAAGACTCTCTGGCTCAGCAAAATAAATGTGGAGAGTGAGACAGAGGTGCAAGTAAAAATCAGAGTGCTGTGAAAAAATGCCGAAGTGCCGTCAAAGCAGCGCCTGGGCTTTATATAGAAAAGTGTGAATTGAATAATAAAGCTAATTAACAGGGATCATGAAAAGGTGATCCAGTCAGAGCAGCAAGACCTTGGAAAACCGTGAGCAGACATAAGAATATGACGGTTTCCCAGGGCAACCACTAGCTGAAGGAGGCCGTCATGACACACACAAACTCTTTAAAATACTGTAAATATACCTGTTGTTTTATTCAGTAAAGCAGTTCATTTGTATACTTTTGGTTTTAGCATTCAAGTATTTCCTGTTTATTAAATATCAGGGATGAAGGACGTGCCTCTTGACCAGAAATAAATGGAAGAGGGTGTTGGTCTCAGCTGTTTTTCGTAGTGGAACAGCTCCCCTTTCTCTTCCTTTAGCATCCAAAGTCACAACTACACTCACTGGCCAAAATATTATATCTCAGTGTCAGGGTACATGTGGTTGGCATGAGTAGCTGGACTTCCGTCATTTTACCTGGCCCGGACAATTCGCACACCCAGCGAACAGCTGGACTGTACCAGTTCAATCCCAGACTCCACTGCCCTCATCACAGCTCCAATCCTGCCAGCTAGGAGGAGGGAAATCTTTACAGAGCTTGTTGCATGCGTGCCATGTCCAGTCGAAGCTGCTCCCAGAGGCGCCCAGCGCGTCATTCGGTGGGGGTGGGGTAATAATTTGTCCCTTGAGTATGCTTGTAAACTCAGCAGCAGACAACAGTTATGACATCTGAAGAGATTAACCTCAGAGAAGATAAACCTCCAAGGACTGGTTTGTGTACCTGGAATCTGGGCATCCTGGGAGAAAATAATTGATCATCAGATAAATTAGTTACAAGTAACCAAATTAGCTGCACTGCATCGCCACCCTTTGTGTAAAGAGCTGCCTCTTGTCCTGATTGGAGGATCTCGTGCAGCTGCTTGTTCAGGGGTCTCAGGGTCGTCGATTTCAAGATCAAGCCTGGGCACCTCATTCCTCAGCCCAGTATGAACGAAATGTGGTTTATGTTTCAGTTGTAAAATCTTCAAAACCTGGGGTCCACAAAAGAAAACATTGAACAAACTGATCCAGAGGAAAGCTTGTAGAAGTTAAATCAATATTTTATTTAAAAAAAATAAAAGAACAGTTTCAAAGATAATGACCAGCAAGATCAAAGGCATTTGACAGCAGTAACCAAATGAACCAGCCACTTGGTTTTTAGCAAATTATGACAATAATATATTAATATTCCATATACCCATTGATAACAATCACATGGTTTCAGTAAATATGACAATCTCAACAAAGCTTTGGTAACCTAAAGTAAACCTACACTACCAATGAAAATCAAACATACATTTTCAAGTATCAGTGTGCCCCTTTTTATCCTCAGGTTTAAAGCCACATTACTTGCAATTCAGATATAGGATATACCACAATTCTGAAGTTTATACATTGGAATAACTGAAGCTATTGTCTACAGATTTTTATATATATATATGTGTGTGTTTGCTCACAATTACCGTATATACGTAGGATTCTTGTTCCTGAAGAAACTTCTGGTTGTAATCTTCTCGCATGAACTGCCTACATTTTTGCGAAGGTGCTCTCAGATTATACAGTATGGCAAAGCCTCTGAAAGGTGCAAATCACGACAACGAAAGAATCAAATAAGGACCAGCCAGATAATAAGGACATAAATATATACATATATAAGTTTCAGTTGTATTGTGTTGTATTTAGGTCCATGTTAACCCTGAACTAATTTATATGTTGTATGTACACTAAGCCCTTCTAATCATCAGAGATAAATGTCTCAAAAGCTACAGAGGTCAATACAGTGCTAGAGTATAGTTGACATTTGTACAAAAATAATTTTAGTTCTGCAATAAATTCACTGGGATCTCCAGCTCCAGTTGATATTTGCTAATACTTTGCTGGCTCATAATCTGTTTTGAATTAGCAGACACAAATTGGCCCAGTTACCAAAGTTATTGCATTGATATTTAAGACATGTTCCAGGGTTAAAGTATTTGTGGTTGTTGCAAACTGTATAAATTCTGTACTAAAGCAGTGACAACCATGAGATTACACAGCTACAGCAAACACAGACATCACCTTTTTCAGCATTTTGTTCTCAGTGTGTATTCAAAAATGAAACCTTATAAAATTACTTAAAGTTATTGTCACCCCTTGAAAAAGGGTTATTATGCTTGTATTTTTTTCCTTTAATGCTTCAAACGCTGGTTAAACATTAATATTAGTATTTTTAAGTGTTTGTACCATTCCACTTGATAAACGGCACCAAGTGCTATGAAACATTCTCAGCATGAAATCAATAGAATGTAAAATTATATCTGGTATAACCCGTTTACTAAAGTAATTGTAAAAACGCTAACATTGAGGTGTGTGAACTGACCAGATGGTCATTGACCAGATGGTGCTATGCCCTCTTTACAGCATCCTAAAGCAGCAAATGTTAAAAAGATAAAAACACATACAATCAAAACAGTTCCTAAAGACAACCTGCAACTGAAGCTGTGCAAAACAGCTGAAGTGACAGAAGACACACCGAGTCTATATTTTGTTGTGTTCTCTTGTGTGTACACAAATTTGTGCTTCAAACCGGACAAGGTTACTACCCAATAACTTGTAGTAGAAATGTCAGTGCATAAACAGATACATCGTCTGAAGAGTAGGACAAAAAAGACTTGACCAGAGTTTCTAACATGTCATTAACGCACAAATACGGAGGCTGCTGAGCTGCAGGTATTTTCTTAGGCAACTGTGGAGGGGCTGCTCCAGAAGCACCACCTGCGTCTGGAATGATGCTTGTTCAGGACCACATCTTCTTTTTCTCTCTCTCGTTTCACTCTCTGATAGTGATCCTCCTCCTTCAAGTACCACACGGGAGGCCAGCGATGCTTTTCAAAGTATTCTTGGTTCTCTGTTAAAAAGCAATAATGGCAGAAGCTGATGCCACTATACAGTACTTCTGTTTGGTTTAAGACGGCATCGAATGTCTGGCCATTAACAAAAGATTCAAGTATGAAATAGTGCTGTAGCAGCACACTGTGGTAGATCAAGAAAAAAAATATTAATAAGACAGTTCCTGATCCCAGAAATTGAAATTTGAGGATTATCTTTGCTGTCTCCTATTGATCACACTTTAACCTACAGCTGGATACAGAGAAGAAACACAGACACACCTGGTGATTTGGACTTGATCTCTTTGCGGTACTTGGCACAGACACTGTTGTAGTTGGTACAGATATGATGTAAGCACCAAGCTGCTAACTGATTAGCATTATGAAACTGGAAGGAGAACAAGCAGAATCAAAGATTAAAGGCAGAGGGCAAAGAATCTGTTTGGCCAAATAAATGCAGCTATCACCAGTAATTATGTTGGGACTTAAAGCATTTTCTTTTTGAAAAGTAATAAAATTAATTCTGAAGGAGATTTAAATACATGGAACAAGCTTGGATTGTTACAGATATCACTAAGTTAGAAACGACTGGAGTTTCATTAAGCATTTGTAGTCAATAACAGGCAGTAACATTTTAGTGCATACCTGAGCCAGTTCCAAGTAAGTGAGTACTTCTCCATCTACATCAATTCCATCTCTTGCTGCTTTCACAAGCTCATTCACAGCATATTGTTCTATTCATAACAAAAAAGGGGTTAAACCACTTTGAGTGGGGGTGTTATCATTTTGTTCATAAATATGTCAGCTATCAGCCTTCTCATCCCAATCAATGTGAAAAGGACGCCTCTCACTTTAGAATTTTAACAGATATTCATGAGAACAAGTGTCATTCATCCATTCAGTTTAAAATCATCTCAATGTGTGCTCGGAGCCCAGTCAGAGTATTGTACATTTCTTTGTGCATGCAAAGAACTGCCCCAGTATTTCAGTTGTGAGAATTCTGAGAACTGAGACTCCTTTTATGGCGCTAAGCATGTTCAGCTCCACAAAACCGGTACATACATAAAACCTTATTTCTACAGAGGCCTTTGCTTAAAGCTCCCAATGGAGCCCAAGACGAGCAGCCTTTACTGACCTGTCAGGGCCACCAGACGGGGAAGGCACAGTCTGTTTGCAAGTGCAATTAACTCGACTGGGTCCAGATCTACCAGCGGAGCCAGCTGATTGGTGTATAGGTACTCCAAGACTGCTTGCATACACACTTTGCTTGTGTTGGGAAAGTAAACCTGTAACACACACACAGAAAATGAAGGAGGTTGGGAGGGAGCACAACTGTATACTGTACACAAGAAAAAAGACAGACTGTTCCTGCTTGCTGCTTAGCACTGGCTCTATGAGTGCAGTTATTTTTAGTCTCGGGATGGCAACAGAATTATGATTTAAAAAATCCATTAGCAGCTCAGATGTTCTCACTCTAGGTGTTAATAAAAAAAATCACTGCTGGTAGGTACTATCGTTTTGCTAGGAATAACATTTCTGTCTGGGTGAGGCTGAACACCAGATCAGTTAGATGTGTGTAAATTGAAATATACAGCCAAACAATTTTAACACATTTCAGGTCTAGCTATGCAATGCAATGTAAACAGGACATGCAGGGAGAGGTTCAATTGTTTAAAATACCAGTGTGCCTATCACCCCACAGTAGGCTGTACTGCACGAATTGTAGTTCATTCTGTAGTATCCCCTACTGTACATTAACAAAAACACATCCTCTAAATGCAAGCAACTCTTCTGTATCTTTAAGACAAATACTAAATAGAATAACACCGTGATACAGTCCTAATATTTTAAGGTCTCCCAACAACGCCTCTTGAGATGGCTTATTCCATATTTAAACTAGCATGATTAGAAGTCAACAAGTCTCTTGCTGAGGGGTTAGTGGAGCACATTACTTTACAGCACAAGAGAGTTTATATACCAATAAAGGTTTGTGTCTCTTGGGCTGAAATGACACTTCACTAAAATTGCATCTGGCATTTATTTTATACTTGATCAAAAATTGGCACCGGCATACCAATGGCTAGCTGAGTTCAAATATCCATTCGGTGCTGCAGCCTCTTAATCCATAATCTCTGTTTGCTCAGCTTCCAATTCTGGCCTTTTAAATCCTGATTTTTTAAAGATCTTACAGTACTTAAGGTTGCAAAGAGCAGCCTAATATACAGTTTATGTCAGGTGTATTTTCTCTTAAGAATCATAGGGTTGCATATTTATTGACAGCTTGTCTTGAGATGTTTTAGCCAACCCTAAGTCCAAATTCAGCAATTTCTCTAGGTCATTCTAGACGGCCTCTTGGAACATACTGATGTTAGATCAATTCAGCACAGCGTTCAAATTTACTTCCCAAATGATTTCCAAATTACCAAACTCAAAACAAATTGTTTACTTAAGTGGTCAAAATGAAACAATTCCCAAGTGTTTAGAGATTTATGTCTAACCACAACCTATAAACATCAGTTCAATTGTGCCTCCACAGCAAGACAGCATTGTTAAAGCAAGAAGGTAATAATAAAATACCATTCTATATATATAGAAATTTAACATATGGCTTCATTTACTATACATTCCATAACAATTTCTTGTTTTTGAAGAGCAATGACAGCACAATTTTACCCCCTTTCTGGAAAATACTCCCAATAATCTCAGCCAGAACCCCTGATTTCAACCTTGTGCCCTCCTTCTATGAAACAAAATTCAAAAATTGTGAGGCACACCTAGCCTCACAATATTATAATAATTCTGAGGCCCTTCTGTGTCTGCAAAGAAATTATAATTTATATGACAAATTAGACTGGAATCATTTCAGCATATTTGAGAAAATTTACTATAATTACAGTCACAGATGCTTAATAGGTTGTAAAACATTAAAGAGTTAAAGTAGAAAATCATCAAATCAAAGGGATGTATTTTACTGCACTAAATTCTAAAATAAAAGTAGGCCATAGCAATGCTAAAATAAAACCGCCCTAATTTATAAGAAATCCTGGTTCCTAATTTCAGCTGAAACTGAAGCATCCTGCTCAAGATTTGGCCCAGCTAAATAATATGCTGACCCTTTACTATTTTATGTGGTTGTTTTCTGTAAAGTCAAGGACACAAGAATACCAGCTGAATGATACAGAATGATGACACGATGAGGTAAAACTGCTATTTTAGCAGACTGTAAACTCCTGTTTTTCTGCTGAGAGTACCAGAACCATCTGTCTAAAGACTGGCAGTTACAGTACCATTCACGAGTCAAGAGGTATTAAAATGTGCAGTTTACACGTCAGTTTATGAGGGCATTTCAGCATCCTGGATTTCAGACTTACCTCACTGTTTGAGCTCTCCATGAAGGAGCCTCCAAACAAAGCAGCCATCCAGTCACAGCTTGATATCAGTAAAGGCTTATGGGCATTGATAGTTCCATCATCCATCCTGAATGTGACATCTGCCAGATATATTGTAAACCAAGTTAACTATTACCTTGGCACCGACATAAATTACAGTTTTCTAACCAGAAGATCCAGGGTGACAGTGCATTAAGCTGCAATGCATTCATGTTCAGAAACATTAACTGTGAAAAAGGCAATGTCTCTACACATTTTTTGTTTATCTAAGTAATCAGAAATCAGCCAACCACGGAGGCAGTGAGTAATTTTTTCCTGACTAATATGTTTCAGCCCTGACAACTTAGCATCTGTCAAGAACACTCTTCTAATAGCACAGTCTCTTTAGCTTAACTCATCTGGCTTATTTTAAAAATGTTTAATGAACAAGTCAACATTTAAAGACCATCATTACTTTTTGTTTTACATTTTGTCATTCTAATGGTTTATTTCAGCACTTTTGTTCCTTCTAAATGTTAGCTACTCATTGTATGACAAGTGCATGATTTCATGTGTGCTCACAAACATAAATCAATTTCAACATTGCCTGATATTGTGTGACTGCATTTCTTGGTTGTTAAAGACACTGAACGATATGTTTATCTTATTTATTACCTGTAAATGTATCCTTGGCCAAGCATTCTTTAATCCTGTTTGCTTTTCGGACGTGGAATGCTTTGGTGATCTCCTGATTCATGAACGCTTCTTTATTCAGAATATTTTCCACCATCATTCTGAGGTCAAACACTTCAAGGCTTTCTGCAATCTGGGCGATCTTCATCAAGTCCTTCTCCTTCTCGTCCAGCTCACCGGTATAGAGGAATCGGAGGACGGCACTGAAGGGCCCCAGCTGAATAGAGTAGTCCATCTTGACCACGGTCATCAAAGATGCTGTACCAGTGACAGGGGCTTTCAACATTTCCTTATGCATGCTAACAAAGGCCTTGCTCCAGGACGCCAGGGACACCTTTGTCCTCTTGCTCTTTCCACTGAAGCACATCGTCTTCAAAGTCCCGTCGCTTTTAGACGCTCGGAGGGAGCCGGGCGAGAGAGTGGACAGGACAGCCGCGTCCTCCTCTGTGTCCAGGCTCAGGGTCCGCGTCAGGTGGTCTCGGCCATGCCTCTCCGGCGCCCGCATCCCCGGGGACTCCTCCGACAGGTCCATCTGGAAGAGGTCGTAGAACTTGGAGGATGAGGTAGACAGGTACATCCTATGGGCGAAGACGTGAAGGTGGTCCTGGAGAATGAACATGACGTCGGCGCAGAGCGGGGTATCCAGCAGGTGCCTGGGGCCCTCCTTGTTGCTCGGGGGATACTCCATGACTTTGATCAGCGGAGGAGGCGCCTTCGGGGGCAGGAATGGGGCCTGCAGCAGGGGTTTCTGCACTTTCTTCAGATGGGACTTCCAGAACTGAAGGTGTCTTCTGGAAATCAGAGCTGCTCGAATGGCGTTGTCAAATATGTCCTTGATGCCAAACTGGTCAAATACACTGGTTTCATAGTAGGGAATCCCAAGCTCTTTCGCAACTTCTCTGCCCCTTTCTGGAGGTAAAATATCACTTGGTTTTATTGGCCTGTTTAAAAATCAAGACAGTTTTATTTTGATTATTGTTTCATTAAACATTTGTGCTTATGTATTTTCTAAGGTATTTTCTATTCCCGTGATCACATTATCATGAAATACACCTGAGATACTTTGGTACAGTATCAAGGAAATAGAAACCTGGACTAAAAGTCATATTAATGAACTGAATGTGTGTGGAAAAAATTGACATATAGTGCTTTTATACATGTATTTGTTATACTGTAAAAAACAGAAACAGATATTAGAAGCAGCTGTTGCTTGAATCTTGAAACTACTGCTTTTCTTAAAGTGAGAAAAAAGAAAACATTCAATTACCTCATTACAGAGCCACAGGCACAGAACAATCACTCCAAGCTTGACCTTGGCAACTATCAGAACATGTTATGCTACAATTTACAGACTCCACATGTGTTCTTGGCTGACAATGTTGATGATACAGGAAACGCGTACACAGTTGATATCACCAACGCGTTGTTTCTTGTAGAAACAAACTGAACGTGAGCAATGCCACATTCGCTCGGCAGACCCCACCTTGCCAACGGTCGCCGTGCTCGATTGACGGCTTCCAAGTCTGCGTAGCGCAAGTCAAGCTGGCAGCCAACCAGAATGACAGGTGTCCGAGGACAGAAGTGCTTGATTTCCAGATACCACATCGTTTTGACGTGATGCAAGGAGTTGGGGTTGGCTATAGAAAAGCACAACACCACCACATCAGACCTGGAACAGACCACAAAGAAGAAGACCTCCATTTTTCCAGGTGTATTTTGCATCAGGTTTGGAACAGGGCAGGGAGGGGTAAACAACACTTTACACTGCATGCTACAAATTTAGCAAAGTGTCGTACATCACAGACGCCAAGCTGTCTTTGACGCAGCGCCACAGTTAAATATAACTTGTGTTCATGCATACGTCATCCCACATTTTCAATGTCAGCCGGAGTGACTGGAAGCATTGATCTCTGAGTTGTGAAAAGATTGCCCTGCTTATTTGCAGCTATCATATGGTTTTGATACTTCCACTGAAGGACTCCTTTGGCAATACTTTTTCAGACTGCCACACTGTAGATCATTACAAAAGGCATGCAGACATATTGGACAAACCACTGGCATACCAAGGACCTTTCAGAGTGAGGTTAGTACACTGATTATGCAGAGAAATACACTACTCATCACACAAGAAAAGAAATAACGTATGGTTACTTGATTATCTTGGAAACAAAGGAGTCGTGCACCACTAGTTCTCACTGCAAGCAACGAGTTAAGCTGCTACTCCACACATTACTGTACTTCAGGTGCAATCAGACTGAAAATGCATAAAGCATGAGTCACGAGAAACTACAGGACTACAAACTTACAGTTTCTTTCATTGCCATGTCCTGTTTATAGATCAAAGGAATCCTATAAACAAAAACAAGTACAATACAATACTATGTTTTGTTTTTAAATTAAGCAACAGTAATTAATTAGATAGGTTCATATATATATATCAGTCTGTAGAATAAAGATAATTTCCTGCACAAGAATCTGAATCAGGCTACAATACAATAAATGCAAGGTACGTACAGTATTTAGTTTTTGTCTGAAAGTAGAAACAGAGTAGAATGACACTGCAATGTCTTCGTTTCATGCACAAGAGGTATAGGAATACTTCATGAAATCAGCTCCAAGCTTGAGATTCAGTGACTGATAAACTGACATGCATTAGGTACAGCAAGAGTTACAGTGGCACTTTTTCAAGGCTTACAAGACTATTTAGACTGAGTCTTGCACCCCAGTTACTTTACAATCAAGCTGTTCAATAATAAACAAGCGAAACTGGAGTATATCTCTGTCTGAGACAGAACACAAGCAAATCCCATCATCAAGGTGGATTTGGTAATTAAATGTGATGGCCAAGAACTGCCAAAATCAATATAAAGTAAGCATTAAAAAATACCATCAGACCTATCTGATCTTCCTTGACAGTGGTTGAAATGGACTTTATTTGCAATGCTTCTTCATTGAGTCATAAAACTGACCTCATTTCATGTCTGCTCCCCAGTATTAGCATATACTTGAGTAAAGAGAAAGTATGAAGAATCAAAAATGTCAAGTTAGGAGTGACAAGTGGTATAGAAAGTTAAGCAATTGATGATATTGAGTTAAGCTCCACAGTAAATTTACATGAATTAAAGTAAAAGGCTCTTCTTAGTGCTTTTTATTATTTAACTAACATGCAACTCTGTGATAGGAGAAGGGCCCTTCTCGTCTCATTTCAATGCTAGAGAGGAAAACTTTGCACAAAACCTGCTGATTTCACTGACCAATTAGCTAAAAGGAAAGAAACAAACTGCTCCATATGAAGGACTCTGTCATCTGCTGGCTGTATCTGTGTTGAGAGACGTGCACCCTGATCTGCAACTTAACAAAGCTGTTCTTGGAGGGCACTTGATTCCCCTTAGACATACACATCTCTCAGTAGCTGCAGTCTGGGCACAGGTTCAACAGCTGGGGTTATTAATATCTGCACCTTCCAGGCAGGCTTCCAATAAAGCCCTAAACCACAGTGCCACAAACCCGAATCCTCTTATTGCAAATGCAGCCGTGGAGATGGGATGTAAAACACTTGCCTTTATTTTTAGCAGGCAATAAAATATAAAAACAATTATTCTCCACTACATGACAATTTAATTCAACTAAAAGGGTGAATGGCCCAAGGACAGGATAGAGTCAATTGCCTGTGTCCAGATTCAGGTGAAACAGTTCAAAGTACACTGCCCAATGCGCATGGAGTGGACTTCTGTTCGCTATCACAATCAGCTGAAAATGCACTTTAATTCCTGCCAGACAACAGCACCGGCTGCAGAGAATAAGCATGAACCATTTTGCCTTAGCAAAATTAACAAAGATATACACCTGGTCTGTGTTAGCTAACCATACTGACTGTCCACTTCTATATAAGAACCCCTGTCTCTGAATGCGAGACAGATCTTGAAATTCCCTGGTCATGCCGGAACTCTCCACAGCCTGAGAGAAAAGTGCATTCTCCAGTTTCGTTGGGCTTCCAAGGAGCAGATATCATGTAACCAGACAATCTGAGATCTTCATACATTGTTGGGAGTCTAGATGTGTTAAGATCATCAGATTGTGTGTTTATTGGCCCATGTTTTTATATTTCCCTTTGTACTGTATATATTTAAAAAGCCTAATTAAAACTTTTTAGTTGCAAGCCAATTTAGGATGGGTTGTACGAGCCTTTTCCAAATGTAACTAAACCAAAACACTCAATGATCAACATGTTTGTTCCAGCTAGTAATGGAACAGTGATTTCATACATTTTTCAGATATATTTTAGTATATACTAAGTCATTTAAAATCAACAACGATCAGAAAACTCCTAGTTCAACCTAGGAACTGAAACCCGTTTTCCTAATACAAAACAGTAGGGTCTCACCCAGTTATAATGTGACATTAAACAACAAACACAACAACAGGTAATCTTAGTCTTTCTGTGATTATTCAATGTACTTTAAAATTACAGCAAGTAAAATGGCATTAATTGAAATATTCACCATTGTGAACAAAATTGCTTACAATTTTCTCTCTATTTTAACAATATATTTCTGCTCCTTTTCTACATTGAACAGAAAACCAGTTTAGTGAACTTCTACAAAATCCTCGAAACACTGCAGGACGTACATTTTGTTTTATAGGAATAGCATCTGTGACTAAGGGGCTTGTATCAGCTCAGTTTGTGTTTAATCACTTAAATATAACTCTAAATCTAATCTACCAAAAACGAGGAAATGGAACTCCTTTCTTAATATGAATACTAAAAATGTATTTCAAAGGAGATTAAGCCTTGATATATTCTCAATTCGCATATGAGACTGATAAAGCAAGGATTGAGCAGTCAAAAATACATCTCTGAAAATTACCTTCCATATGCAAAGCGCCTGTCCTTATGATGGTCACCAAAAGTATCCCAGAGCCTTAGTGATACACTCACTTCATCCACAACATCCCGGGAACGTTCCAGGACCTGAAACAGTTTAATAAAACAAAAGACAAACTTTCAAGCTAAACAAAACATTAAGGAAGATGCCTATCTTAAGGCTGAATTAAAAAAAAATGTTGCCATGCTGAATTCTCATTTTTACAGTATGTCTTCAGGCTTTTTTTCAATACTCAGCTTAACGAACGTAGTTTTTTTGTTTCCACCATGCTGCCCTGTTCCTTCGTAGCATTAAACAGCCCATACCTCCTGGCAAACCCGGTACTGATCGATGGCCCAGACAGTCGGCACGTGTGTTGCGAGGAGCTGATAGTGGGTGAGAGTGGTGTTGCAGGCTCTTGCGCAGATGAGGCGAGTCTTCCCCACGGCGTTGTCTCCCACCACTACACACTTGATGGTCTCCACATTGGGCCTTTCGTAGTCCATACTGGCGTTCATGAACTAGCGCCTTTCCAAACAAAAAAAGAGCGCGCACAAAATAATTCCGGCTTGAACTCAGCTACAGAAACAGTCCGAAAGTCATTTCAGAACATTCCGATCATTCTGATTAGTCACAGTTTACGATACCTTAACACCATGTCTCTGTAAGGACCAGGGAGTTTCTGGGCAGATCATTCCAGTTGAACTAGGACATTTCTTTCCCTGCAAATCTGCTGCTTACATAACTGGTAATTTTGGTTATAAAGCAGCAACATTTTTGCCTACGCACAGTGAACAGTTAGAAGAAAACCGGTTAGAAATAGATCCTGTTTTAGAAAGCAAAATAATTTCATTTTAAAAATCATGGCTGTATAATATACTATTTAGTAATGCAATAATTTAAACACACCCAAAAGCCCTACTGTATTTACAGAGCACAGACATATATGGAGAGAAACTTCTGTAAGGGATGTGCGATCATGCCACTCAAAAAGAAAAAACTGGGACAAGACTGCACATGTCTTCAAAGCAGGCATTCTGAATCGTTCTTCAGCAATGTTTCACTGCATCTCCATGTTACAACCAAAGAGACCTCTCATCTCTAAAATTAATTCATGAATTTTAAATTACACTTAGGGTAGAATTTGTATTTCATCAGGTTCCTCTCATAGAAAAAAAAAAACGAAATATCCTATCAATCTTGTTGATGCCTGACATTACCATAATAGTTTACACTTGCACTCGCTTAGCTAAATTAATATTATAGTGGAGTAATATGAGTGAAGCATCCTGCTCAAGGTTACAGCAGCAGTACTCCAGACAGGATCTGAGCCCTCCATCTTCCAGTTATTTACTCCAGAGCTCTAACCCCTTCCCCACACTGCTGCTACACAGCTCTGTGTTAAAGAATAGTCAGATGATCAGTTTGTGTACTTAACCCAAGATGCTGACTTCTTCAAATCGCATTAGAACGTTGAGTAATTGTTTACCTATGTATTCAGCAAGGATCGATGTAATATTGGTTTCATAAGAAGCATATGTTTATGTTGTTGATGGGATTTTGTTTTGTTTTGTTTTTTTTGCGAATCCTAAGCCTCGCGTTAGTGTATGACCAACTTTCATAATCATTGCGTATTTTAATTCTCTTCGAAGGTTACATGCTATTTCCACAGAGCAAAGCTCACATAGTGAAACAAAAAGCCATAGGCCAAGTGTTTCACAGCATGGGAGGAAGCAGATCCCCTGACGTCTCTTAAACACACTTTGGCAGTCGCTTCCAATACCCTCAACATCCCGGGTTTGAATCATCCCGTCTGCACACGGGTCAACAAAACATCGGAGCAATTAAAGGGGCGCGCAAGCCATAACGCACAGGTCTTAATGTTTTAAAAACTTTTTTTATATCAGCTCGTTAACCATCCTCATTCATAGACCCTCGTTAGCTAGCTCTGTTAACTCGCAACCGCATATCTGTTTACAAAGCAGGATATCAAATTATCAGAGCTGTCTTCAACTCGTAGCACAATGACAAAAATCGTGTCAAAAATAGCACAGCGTGTAAGGTGAACTGCGCTCACGGTATAAACAAAACCCTGATGAATGAAGATCGTGACAGATTATTTTTTCCTCCTGCAATATAAATTAACTTACAAGATGTAAAGTATAAGCGAATTATGCTTCAACTTCCTTAAAAAATAATTATTAATGTGCAATTGTATGCAGTAGTATTTCCTATAAAACCAGGCGGTAAAAGCAGCAAATCGTCTTGCACAATAGCGTATCTCTCACAGAAAATAGTGACTTTTAACGAATGTAATAAGCTCGAAACATTTGGTTTTGCACTGCACATAAAATACAGCACATTCTTTCATTTGCACAGTGTAGCCGCATAACTTGGGTGAACTGTCGAGCGAAAGCAACGTTCAATCCTGCCACACATTTCTGGAGAATGCATTGAATATCACAGAAAATGCAAATATTTCAACGCTATCTGGCTGTAACTACAGGTACAGAAGGAACTTCAATCAGAAAACAGCAGAGCTAAGAAAATTAGATCAAATTAAGACACCACCCCAATCTTTGTTCAAGAGTAGCGAAGGTGCTGAGTAGATGTAAATGACAAATGCACCTACCGTTCCTTTAGGGTTGTGTTTTTTTTTTGTGTGTGGATTTCTTGAACCCAAAACAGAACCCAGAACAAGACTTCAAAGTGTATAATGGAATTATTCTAGTTGCTGTAAACCATACAGCACAGCGCTAGCTAGGGAAATGCTGCAAGATCATTTCGCAATAGCTGTTGTCTCTCGGCTTGTGAAAAGTTAGTCCCTTTTTTTCCCCACAGAACCTTACAGAACTATGTATCTAATATGATTCGAGTAGCCTGCGAAAGTATGCCCCTGTTTTCCTCCGAATGCTCTTTGAGCAGATCAACTGCGAGCACAGAGAGCGAGTCGAACCGCGGTCGCAGCTCGCATTGTGACGTCAGCGACCCCTGTTCTATTTATAGTGAGGCATTAGATTTCATTCAGGAAAACAAGGTGGTCCAGACTGTAGCCTCTTGGAGACTGTCTGATGCTACGATGCGCACAAGAACGCCCTGTAACTAGCATTTCGGCACTGTAACAAAAAAAGATCTACTTCATTACAGATTTGAGAGATTAGTTTATGTGTTTCTGATTATCTGGTGATGTGAAAAGACATAACAGCCACGCGCAATCTTTCCACCCTCCCCCTATGAACAGGGATGTGCGCAAAGTGTACAGGATAAAGGATAATAGCAGATCGGCTGTATTGTGCACAGCAGGGATTGACACCCAAGGTCTGGCAATGTGCTTGATGATTTCAAGGCAAGACCACATTAACAGTGCAGATGATTGTGTTTTTGTTCCAAAACACGCATACCCTTACGTCTTTTAAAAAATGTATATAATTGCGTTTCGTCAGCCTGGCGTAGCCTGTAACCACCTGAACAATGAATATGAATGAGATGGGAAGTAAAAATACCGGATTCCATTAAATGGCACGGTAAATAGCATCGGATAAGCAGTGCCTGAAAACGTGACAGCCAAGGGAAAAGAGATGAAACCGTCTCAAGACAGTCTCATCACAAATCGCAGTCAGCAACCGACCGCATCTGTGAGGCAAGGGGTTCACCGGCGTGAATCTTTATTCTCCTTCGGGTTGCTGATGGCGTGTATCTGTCAGTGGAGTAGACAAATGATGGCTTAATTCTTTCCGTAAAAAAATCCCAAGTACCTGTAACGGCGTGTGTCTGGACCAGCATTTGATTTGTTAACATAGACCATAGTCGCTGTATTAAACAATTTCTTCAGGATAAATTGTATATTTCAGTTTCTTCATTTGTCCTCAATCACAGTTTACATAATTGCAGCTGCATAGGACATGATGTGTTTTTTAAAAAAGCAGAAAAAACGCTTCTACTGAATTTTTATACAATACCTACCCTGCAAGCAAGTCTGACAGCATGCCGTTACATGAACACACATTTTTATATGTTCTTACAGTATATACTGTGTATGCTACAGTACATGTGCATGCATGTATGATCGATATGAAGATGTTATATAACTTTATCAACGGGAATCTTCACCGCTGACCTTTTCTTGTTGTTATGGATTTGAGCAATCCGGGTGCAGTTTTATGTGTGGAAACTTTGCTAATGCTAATTGAAAACCGTGCCAACCTGGCCTTCAACTTTAGAGGGAGTTAGTAATGGAGTAGTAACATTATGTCAGTCAGATGCTTTTTTTCCATTTCCGCCTCGCTGTACCACTGCTATAAAACCTCATAAAATCACCAAGCTGAGTCTGGAAATCAGATTTGCTGTTTAGCAGTTTTTCCTACATTAACGTCACATAGTTAATTTAACTCGGTGCTTCTTTGACCTCTGATTAAAAGCACCGCATTTATCACTTTCACCCCCTTTGAAGGCACTGTGTCTTTCAGAAGCAATTCGGTTGAAGATTCACAAATAACATTTTTAAACAGATTTAACAATTCTAATACCAAGCCATCCCAAGAACTGCACATAGCATGCAACAGTAATTTTCAATGCCAGCACAATACATTACTAATTAATGGTAACCACAAAAAGATTAATTTTCAGGCATTGTTTAAAATCAGCACAGCTCAAGAGCTGGGTCAAACACAGCATAATGGAATAAGACCACTAAAATACATGTAGAAAATTTAGCATGTAGTTAACCCAATGGACGTCTTCAGAATCAGCAGTGAAACGTGAACCAGAGTCACAATGGGAATTGAATGCACTTGAACCTGAGGGGAGGAGGAACTTTTCTACACTAAGGGGTGTGGGAGCATGGAACAAGCTACCCAGCCACATTGTTGCTTATTTTTAGATCTGCTTAGATAAGATCCTCAGATCAATTAGCTACTGGCAAGAAAACAAATTAGATGGGCCAGGTGGTGTGACATTTGTAACCTTCCTTATGTTCTTTTGATCTTTAGTCAATATAAACGTCTTTAATTTTGCAGTTTGAATTAATTTATTGTAAAAAATAAAAACAGAAATAATAATAATTAATAATAATTGCTTACACTTATATAGCGCTTTTCTGGACACTCTACTCAAAGCGCTTTACAGATAATGGGGACTCCCCTCCACCACCACTAATGTGCAGCATCCACCTGGATCTGATACACTTTGTATTTGTATTCAAAATACACTTGGAACTCTGCAATACTGTACATACTGTACCATGTAAGATCTACCAAAAGAGAAAGCTCAGCTTATGTTCAAATTTGTACTGGGCTGCTCTTATAAAGAAAGATAAACAAAACTTAAATATTTACTGTTTGTTCTGTAACGGTATTTTCAAACCCACTATAGCTGTTGCCAGGAGCATCTCGAGTGAGAGAGGCTGTGGCGATGCCAATAAACTAGTGCCTAAGTCACTGAGCCCTGCTGTGTAAACACAGGACACACAACCACGGCTTTTATTCAATGTGACACAATTGCCCCTCAGTTTCATTTGAAGACAACAGAACTCTCAGGATTCTTTTCGTATATCATTTGAGTATTTTGGATGTCTAAACCTAGACAAGGCAGCCATGCCAAGAATCATTAGCACACTAGCCTGCTGTGGGCCACAAATCTTAAATATGTGTCTATCACTTCAAGGCACTGGAAGATTCAAAAGTTTCCTGCATCTTTATCTTGGGTCAAGTTTTTTTTTTTAATAAGGGCACATTCACCTTCATTATAGAATTAACTCCTGAATTTACTTCATATTTAGTTTAACATACTGTGTGTGATTTTCAAATAAGTAAAAAAGCATGTATTGACACAAAATCGCTAACTTGTTTTTTTTTCCATTACAGTCAAGCTCCATATGTGTATACATATGTTTTCAGATCAATTGTTTTGACTGAAGAGCTGTAGACAAATATGGAACATCGGAGGACAGACAGGGTGTTCCATTATGGAACTTTGATCCAAGCAGCATTCTAGCCTCATGGGATCCTGGTCACACTCAGGCAGTACAATGACCCCTGATCGAACCTCTGCAACTTGATCACACAGCTGAGCTGAGGTGAGCACCTTCATCAGCTGGACTGTTTCAGAACCCTCTTTCCATACCTATTTATGTGGAACTCACCTGTAAGTAAAACAGATGTTATATTTATATAGCTGTATATACAGTATTTACATATCTCAGAAAGCATTTATGACACTAAAGTATTTTCTATTTGAGAGCATAGATAACAGGAATGAGTAATAGGAAAGCCTATACAAATAACCCATTTTAAAATTTCATTATTTGTTCTCTTACTTTTACACTTTATGCTTAGATGTCTTTTAGGAAACAGGTTGACCTAATAGAGTGGAATGAATTAGAAAAGCTCCATGCAGAGGTCTTGGAACACACAGATAAGCTATATCTTTTGACACTGGCACTTTTATTTCACTTCTGTGGAAGCTGCCGTGCGTTCCGCTGTAGATGTTATCAAATTTATGAATTCTGAAAGTTCAGTTATTCCCTTTGCAATAATAGAAATGTGCTGTGCAGCTCTCAAAAGGGAGGAAATAAAGAACTTGGCTGCAAAATGAATTTGTATGTCCTGATGTATGGAACTGAATATCTTATTTTAATTCCTTACTGTTCAAAAAGTTTACAATGGCACATATCATATAAACCTTCTGAATACTATGCTGTTAGAGTCCCAAACCAGATTTTAGAAGCTAATTTACAAAGTAGTTCTTATTTTGGTCTCTTTTGAAAGTCATGCTGATAACATTTCTCCTGTGATATAATTTCTCTGAATTTACAGAACATTGCTAGTCCAAAAATGAAACTAAAGAGTATGATGCGATTCAATTAATGAATGCATCACATCAAATATACTTACGAAATAATAAAAAGCTGACAAACCTTACATCAAAACAAATATTTTCTCTCCGTCATTGCTCACCATTTTCATTGGTGATTTGTTTCAGCCATTAGACCTTCACAGAGAAGCCTCTTAACACAATGTTTAGCAAAAGAAGCTTTTTAGCACTGGACAATCTGGAACAGTGCCTGTTCACTGGTCTCTGAGCCCTAGATGACAAATCTTCCCAGCTCGTTCCACAGCTGTTAAACAGGGATCAAGTTTGGTGAGTTGCGCAACACTTTCACAAGCAGCATTGTCCTGCTGGAATGTTGTCACATCAGGAAAATCCTATAGGAAGGCCAGCAGAGAAGTTAAGAGACTGCGAAACTCTGCTCGCTTGAATTTTTTAGCTGATACTCTGAATATTCCATCATATTCAGCATTGTCGATAAAAGTCCAACTGAATTATCTCGTTGATCAGGGGAAACTACAATTGAGAGCACATCATAAAAATGTATCATTTTGCACAGGAACTCTGGTGTGCATAGGTCGCTCAGCAATACAGAAGGAAGTAAAGTAAATAAGCAGATACTTTCCGCTAGGTTTGTTTAAGCTGCAGGTTGCAGTCATATGTCCTGGTTTGTGTGTCCTATTAGTCAGTCTTCCTCAGAAGCAGATTCAGAAGACGTGAGAAGTGCTATGATGATTTTCGATTTAGGGCAAGAGAACTATTATTTCACTTTATCTGAATACTTCATTCTAAACAGAACCTTTATTCAGAACTGAATGAAGTGATTGGTTGATTTAGTTCCACTACTCAAAAGTCCACCTAATGTGTTGCTCTCACCACCTGGTTCTGTTGAATCAATGAACACTGGTGAACACTGGGTTCCTCTGTGGTTGTTTGGCCTGCAAATGACTATATAGCTCGTTTTCGTTTTGGTCAGATGTCATGACTTGTGTCTCCCAGATCATGGCCTGTCCTTGATGAATTGTGTTTGGGGTAAATGTCTCGCTAAGTCAGAAGTTCCTCGCTGTGAATAACACAGATGTAGAGAAAAAGTACTTGACAACAGGCTAACTATTCTGCAATATA